CTGACTGCCTGTCTCCGTCAAGGGCATGTGCCCTAAGGCAAAAACCTCTTTTATTTTTTTAAAATTATGTATTCTTAATTTTATGTATTCATTTACTTACTTTAATTTGACAAGAGAGAGAAAGTGAGAAAGCAAGCCACCAGGTCCAGGACTTGAACCATGGTTGGCCATATGGGAATGTCCAGCGTCTTAACCACCATGCCACCTGCTGGTCCCCAGCAAAAACTTCAAAAAAAACAAAAAAAAAAAGTTGGGACCAGCAGTTAGTGTAATGGCTATGTTGCTGGACTCCCATGTAGTTGACCGCAGTTCAAGTCCCGGACCCAGCAGCTTAAACTCATGCCGGGCACGTGTATGTGCATGCCCAAGATCTCGAGAGGAGAATGGAGAAGGGATTGCAGCATGGCCATCCCCTCTGGGGGGTGATTTCTTGCTTTCTCTCTGTCTCTCTCTGTCATTCTGGCGAGCGCACGTGCCCTATAGCAAGAAACTCTACAAAAAGAAAAAAAAAAAAACTAATCAGGCCTAGATCCCATGTGGCAGGTTGAGAAATATGCTGAGCGCCCATGGGTGCACATGCAGTGACATCCCAAAAGGAGGTAGAGATGAGCAGGAATTGCCCTGTGATCATGCCCCACGGGAGGTGCATTTTGGTTTTCTCCAGAAGAGCACATACCCTCTGGCAATTTTTTTAAAATTTTTATTTAAATATTTATTGATTTATTTAATTCTTCCCCCCCCCCCCTAATTTGACCAGAGGAAGACAGAGAAAGGGAAAGTGAGAAAGCAAGCCACCAGGTCTTGGACTTGAACCTCAGTCAGCCATGTGGGAATCCAATATCCTTAACCACCAGGCCATCTGCCTGCTACCCTCCTCTGGGAAAATTTTAAAAATTCATTTTTAAAAAAAAATAGTTCATCATGGGACCAGCAGTTGGCGTAATGGCTATGTCATTGGACTCCCATGTAGTGGACCGTTGTTCCAGTCGCAGACCCAGTGGCTTGAACTCACGCCAGGCGCGTGTGCATCTGTGCCCAAGATCCCTAGAGAATGGAGAAGGGGAGGGTGATTCCTCACTTTCTGTCTCTGTCTTTCTGGCGAGCCCACGTGCCCTATAGCAAAAATCTCTCCAAAATAAAAAAGAAACATGACAATATATATATATATAGTTCAGCCATTTCTTGCATGAACCAAAATTGCATGAACCAAAAGAGCACCAGAACCAGCAGATGGGAGAATGCTTACGTTGCTGGCTCTGGTGTAGTTGATGGCGGTGCGAGTCCCAGACCCGGTGACTTAATACTTATGCCAGGCATGTGTGCGTGCGTGCCCAGGATGGGGGGAGGCAGAGGTGAAGGGATTGTGGTGTGGCCATCCCGCCTGACAGGTGACTTCTTGCTCTCTGTCTCTCCCGTCAGCGCATCTTCCATATAGCAAAAATCTCTCTCAAAAAAAGAGAACACCTCCAGCCAGGCCCCAACACTGCTATGCACCCCCAGTTTCAGCCCCTCATCTTGGGCACAGCTGTGCCCAGTGTACTCAGGGAGGAGGACGACAGACCAGAACCTTCCCACGTGGGTTAGCCGCCTCTATCGCAGATCCAGGATCCCAGAGGCAAGAGGACAGGCCGACTGACCTAGGTCCTGACCCGGTAGTCCCTGTGCCTGCCAGGGCTCGGCGGCGCTCGTCGTTCTCCGCCAGGGCGCCAGGGGGCGGTGCAGCCCCGCAGCGGCC